AAGCAAAAGCTTCCTGTGTATAACTATCAATAATATATTACCATATTCTGTAACTCACAAATTCTAATCTCAACGCTAAGCAAGGAACACTAAGGTTTTCAATATTTAATTAAGATGCATCTTCTAAAAGCTTAAGTGAAACCATCTAATTAAAAAAATGCTAATGTGGAGGTATAAACTTTCCTTGTCAAAGTGATGTATCTTATTCCTTCTTCTACCTCTTTCTGGTTTGGTTTTGGTTTTTTTGAAGACAGACAATACCTTAACAGTATAATCTTTACTGCTATGAATAAAATATTTGAAATGCCACCATGCATACAAAAGTATAAGTCAGGGGATAATTAGGTGATGTCAATTATAAGTGGTTAAATAGCAAGCCAAAATGAGTATGTTGCTGGACACAGTTTTAAAAAATTAGAGTTTATTCTTCATCCTAATATAATCAGTTTAAGAGTGGATTCCATGCTTTAATGATTTTAATTATAAAAGTCATAGACATTTTACCAGGCTTTATTTTTTGTACTGAAAAAAGCAGCAGCTAGGGGGAAACACAGGGACATTGTTCTGGCATTGTTTATATAAAGCACAAAACATCTTATAAACAGAACTCTTATTACTACACATAAAACCAGATTAACCTCTCTGTTTACAAAAGGCTACTATTTTACACAAATACAGTAAAAGTTTAAGCTTGAAAGAGCTTACAATATATTTGGAAACAAAATTAAAAGCTCGAGATTGGAATAGGGGGAAATAAAAGAAGTACACAAGGGAGGATCTGTGCTCTTACTTTAAATATTATGCTACATGGAAACCAAACTTAAAGCAGACGTTCCAAAATCCATCTGAAAATTTAAGTGTACTAAGAGATTTCTGTCCTAAAAAGTTAAAAACTTAAATATACATTCATTCCTATCAACACCTAACAAAACATTACTATTCTGATTGCCAGTAATAAAGACTAGCACAGTTTAGTACTACAGAAGCAGCACTTACAAATGTTCATAAAATACATACACTGTAAAAAAAAACTTCCCTTTTTTTGTAATACTAAGAAAAATTCCACCTATACAGTAACACAACTGTACAACTGTTTTAAATACGCTATGAAAACATTTCAGTATACTTCTGCTGTATCAAAACATCACCAAATGGAAGCACACCTATTTAGCAGACTTCTTTTATCTGCAGAAAACCCTAAACGTTTCATGGTGAGACTTGAAAATTAAACACAGAAGCATCCAAAAACCAAGTACCACACCTGTTACTGGCGCTTCCGAATCCACTAGGCAGTGACTGAAATGTCTCGCTTTCATGGGAAGTAGCAGCTCGAGGACAGAACTTGATACCACTCACACACCTACGTGAGGAACCTTTACGATACCAACCCAAGCTCACCATCCCCTGCGCGCCCCCTGCACCTCGGCTTCTCTCCCTGCGCATCCCGAGGTGGGCACGGGACAGTTTTCCTCCGGCAGTGCTGGGCCGGGCTCTGACTCCCGTCCCCTTCCAGGCGGATCCCCGAGGGTTTTCCAGCTCTTCGTTCCTCACGGCGCCGCTCACACGCCGCTCGCCGTGCGAGCCATCGCTCCTGCCCGTGAAGCTGCGCCTCTCCGCCTCCGGCGTACTGCCGGGGGAAGGAAAGCCCTGCCCACGGAGAGATGGTCGGTACCTCTCAGGACACCCAGAGACAGAAAAAGCCAGGTGGAAGGAAGCCACGGGAGTGCGGGGCACACACCTCCCCCGTACCCCCAGGTTTGCGG